ATAAACAGAGGAAAGACTGCAAGGATTTAATTTTAACTGGATCCATAGTCAATGACCACGGAACATCAACAAATCAAAAGATGTACTGCATTCAGCAAATCGGCTGCGAAGGACTTGTTTCATGCTAAAAAGCAAAGATGTTATTTTGAAGACTAAGATGCACCTGAACCAAACCATGGTGTTTTCAATGACCTTTTATGCTCATGAAAGCTAGACAGTGAGTAAGAATGACTGGAGAAGAACCAATGTCTCCGAATTGTGCGTTGGCGAAGATTAATGAATACGCCAGGGCTGCCAGTGACTTGTGGTCTGGAGTTCTTTTGGGACATTTCCATGACCATTTTAATCAGTTTGTGATTAATCAGTATATGAAAGTTAAAACTATTTTAAGACTAATAGTAAGACTTTTGTTTATTTGGCCTTTATTAGCCTCATATATTGTTCAACAGAGTTTTCGAGGGGCCAAGGTTACACAATGTGTGCCAACATCACTCTGTCAACCAAAAGACTGAGTGTTCCCATTTGTCTCTATTTTTAATGTTCTTCATTTTAATTCATGTTAAATAATGTACATATGATTCACAAATGCAAACATTTTTGAGTATTCTCAATATTTTTTAGTAGTATAAAGGAACCTGGAGATGCCAAATTGAGAATTACTGCTTTAAGGGATAAACCATTAACATACACACATGGACAAATTTCCTTTTATATATAAAAAAAGAATATAAGACCGTAAGCTTTATGAGGGCTGTGACTGTGCTTATCATAATTATTGTTTCTTTTTAAAAATATTTTTAATTTAATCATTTTATTTGGGGCTCATACAACTCTTATCACAATCAATACATACATCTGTTTGTGTCAAGCACATTTGTACATTTGATGCCATCATCATTCTCAAAACATTTGCTTTCTACTTGAGCCCTTGGTATCAGCTCCTCATTTCCCACCCCACTCTCCCCCATCCTCCCTCGCTCATGAACCCTTAATAATTTACAAATTATTATTATTATTTTGTCATGTCTTACACTGTCCGACATCTCCTTTCACCTACTTTTGTGTTGTCCATCCCCCAGGGAGGAGGTTATATATAGATCCTTGTAATCGGTTCCCATACTTATTGTTTCATCTCCATAATCTTGACTAGTGCTAGGTACATAATAGGGACTCAAATACTCTATAAAATAAAAAATGAAATAATGTAAACATATACACATTCATAAATGAAGAATTTACTAAATTATTTATATAAGGTCAAATAAAACCAGCAGGCAAGTTTGAACCATATTCCAAGTTTCCTATCTTGTATTCTTATACTCTTCCTTCCTGTTTCAAGAATTCCTTTGTTTTTGTTATTTTTTGTTCTATAATCTATTAAAAGCATGGATAATCCGGTTTTATCAATGTAAGTACTAAAAAAAATTATGTATGAATGACCTCTGATCTCCTCTAACTTCACAAGGGTGAGGGAAGATCACCATCATTAGCATCAGCTGCCCAAGGCTGATTTCTATGAGGCTTGAGGTAAGACATGCCTCCACCCTCCATCCTTCTTAACCTTATTCTAATATCAACCGTACCTCATACAGTCCCCTCTCCTTTTCAGATGTACTTTGTAATTCATTTCAGTAACCACCTAGGACTCACAGATGATGCTCACAGTTATGGGATTTCTTAGGGAAGTTACCAGGTTACAATTTAGTTGAGAAATTCTCAGAATACACTTGTTCAGGATAGTTTTTTCTCTGCCAAAGCTCTGTTAAGGCTGCCAATAAATGTCCAAAGGACATTCCACTCTGCCATAAGCCTCAACTCAAATGTACTCAGTTTCAGCTCTGTGGGTCATCAAACCCAGCTTCCTCAATTAAGTTCTCAGAGGCACCCCAATCCACAGCCAGCCTCCTGTTCAAAAGCACTCAAGGTAATTTGTTCCATGGGCTAGAATGGCCACTGCTTTGTCTCATGCTCTGACTCATGGTTCTGTTGCTGCTGCTCCTCTGCCACTCCTCTGGTGTCAAAGCTTTGGGGGAACACTGGTTTAGATCAATGTTGTTTCTAAACCACCTCTGGTTTTTGTAATAGATTTAAGAGATGTTAGTTCATCACCTTACTGATGGGTATAGAAAATATGGGGCCTACAATAGTAGCCCACCTAGTGAAAAAAAAAAGGTTCAGTTGCTGAATTAACCACTCACATGGGAAATTGCTTTTTAAGATAGATAACCAATATAAAAGCAACAAGTTGACAGACCAAGCTGTCCCAATCAACTGGAAGTAACTCTTCTGCCTTCACTCATCCCAATGATGCACACACAGTCTTACATGCTTCCAAGAGGAACCGTCAGAGTTAGCTCCAAAAACCAGACAATAGGGAATGTTCCAAGTGAACGCTCCTGTGCCAAAGCATTGGGAAAGTCACTGCCACTGCAAAAGAAATAAATGCCCTGGAAATGTCTCCGATTACCTCATAACCCTTCAATTCTGATTGCTAGAGCAGTTGATTAAATATATGGAAATCACAACCAAGGTTAACTATTCTAGATGTGAGAAGAAAGATAAGCTTAACCATGCCTTAGAGCAGGACTGTCTTAGAATAATTTCATTTGCTTTAGAGAACTAGATAGATAGAATATGTGAATTGATAATAGGGAACTACAAACAGAAGCATGCCTAGTTCATGTGGAGCATAGTTTCAAGTTTAATTTTTTAATAAATCATTTTACTGGGGACTCTTACAGCTCTTAGAACAGTCCATACATCAATTGCAAGTTTAGCCTTAAACTCCTCTACATGAAATAAACAGCAAGCACTCAAGGACCAGTTATTGATTACTTACTATCTGACAAATGCTATATCCAGCAACTTGCATGCATTATTAAATAACATCTCCCCCAAATCCTATGAGGGAGCTGAAGTTCACAGAAGCATCGCCCATAATCACATTTATGCACTGCCATCTAGTCAATTAGGACTTACGAGACACCGAGAGGACTGCAGGGCTATAAATTTGTGTGCAAAACAGACGGCCTCATCTTTCTTCTGGGGAGCAGCTGGTGGGATGAAACCATCAACTTTTCAGTTATCAGGTCAATATTTAACCCACTGCACCACGAGGAGGGCACCTTAATCACAAAATTAGTAAGTGGCAAAAATTGCTCCCCAATTCCCTTTTTTTTTCACATGAAGCCTAAGTTCCTAACTGCTATGCATTACTAAACAAAAACCTCTTTGACCTTCTCAGACAGGATTAGAAAAACAATGGTTATGACATTACAATAACATACCCTGAAAGATGAATTTACCAAACAAATAAAACTTTATAAGCCTGTGTTTAGTATGATCTCACAACAAACTGTATCTGCAAGTCTTCAGGACATCTGGTTTATGTCTGGTTTTCCTTAATCTTTAATGATGGGCACATCCAATGCATTATGTAAGGCCATTTTTTTCTCAAGAGATATAGATACCTCTTAAGAATTTGATGAAAATGCATTAACTTTTAAAGCTACCAAGTTGCATTTTTAGTGCACTGGGGCAGTAAATTAGTGTTCAATGTGCAAAAATGGTAGTGACCTAAAAAATAAATATTTTATATGAGCTACTGCATTCATTCTCTTGGGGAAAACAAGGAGAAAAGGATGAACTCTCTAAGGAGTCTTTAGCTTACTAAAACGGAGTAGGAAGAAGAATTCTCCTTTGGCCTGGAAACAGCTTCTCTTTCTTACTGACTAGCTAATTATATGTGTTTAGCAATTTAATAGGCCCTTTGCTTAACTCAATGCTAAGGTTGAGAGTTTGATCCCTATAGCAGCCACTTAAATTAAGAGAACAAAAAGCTCTATTCTCTGATTCCAGACCTTACCCCAAATCCCTGCAGGTGTCTGCCCTGTGGTCAAAAAAAATTGGCAAAAGGGTGCAAACCTATGGCAGTATTGGGAAAAACAAACAAATAAAAAATCGGACAACTCTGTATTATGGTGCTCTTTCTCTTCTACGTGTTCACAATATTTTCATAAAATTCACGGGAAACAGATGATACACTATTACTACTAGAAATCTGAGGCACTAGCTGTATTTGCTGCAATGCTAATCATAAAATCCCCAGTTTCTGATTCTAAGTTCAGAGCTTTTGCCACTAGCTTGATAATACACAAAGAAGAAACACATCTCTGCGAGTTATTGATCTGCATCTTCAATAAGGAAGAACATAATAGTAACTGGTCAAAAATTGAGCACATTTTTCATATTAATAAGTCATTAAATTAGTTTTATAAATAATTCCATGTAGAATACAACACTATAATAAAATGATTTTAAATATGTGCTAAGAATGTATTAAGGAAAATATGTTTCTCAGATCAGAGCTGGTTTTTTTTAATTTAGATCACAATCTTAACTGCTTAAATTCAAGTCTCCTTAAATTAAGCTTAATTACATATAATCTAATGTAGTAAATAAAATTCTTTATACTTCAAATGATAGCCTAATTAAGATAAGCCCACTTTAACTTTTGAGAAAGTGACATTTCATTTTTTAAGTATGAAGTGTAAATTCCCTTATCTAATTGCAATTAAGACTTATAAAGATTCATCAGATTTAAGTGTGGTTGATATTATTGTTAACATAGGCTTTAATTTTCTAGCTTCACGTATATCTTTCATTATTTGTAGGCTTATTTTTTTTATGGAGTAGTCCAATGAATCAGCTCACCCTTGCCTGTAACAAAATACTGTTTGGTGACTTGTGACAGACAGGGTTTCAACCTCTGACAGCAAGATTCATTGTGGAGCAAGAGCCAATCATAGGTCCTGAGGACACTTGTCTCATCAAAGTTGGAATATAAAAAGCCACTTGGAATACAGTATACAAGAGTCACTGCGGTGGCAAGTGTGTCTCTCAGACTGTACATGCATTACCATTTTGCTTAGCTTTACTCAAAAGCAAAAGTAAAAGAAGAAATAAGAGCACAGAAAGAAGATTGCATTGACTGAAAAGCCATGAAAAAACTGCAAATCTGCGTTTACATCTACCTGTTTATGCTGATTGTTGCTGGTCCAGTGGATCTAAATGAGAATGGAGAGCAAAAGGAAAATGTGGAAAAAGAGGGGCCATGTAATGCATGTACTTGGAGACAAAACACTAAATCTTCAAGAATAGAAGCCATAAAAATTCAAATCCTCAGTAAACTCCGCCTGGAAACAGCTCCTAACATCAGCAAAGATGCTATAAGACAACTTTTACCCAAAGCTCCGCCACTCCGGGAACTGATTGATCAGTATGATATCCAGAGAGATGACAGCAGTGACGGTTCTTTGGAAGATGATGATTATCACGCTACGACGGAAACAGTTATTACTATGCCCACAGAGTGTAAGTAGTCCTATTTTGCAGACCGGCAATTCTGCTGACTGTTGTTCTAGTGTTTATGAGAAACAGATCTATTTTCAGGCTCTTTAAACAAGCTGTTGGCTTGTATGTAAGCAGGAAGAAAGATTTCTTTCTTTCCTTCTTTTCCTACCTATATCAGGAGAAATACAATGAGACTGAAAGCTGCTGCATTATTTGTTTCTTCGTTGAGCTAGAGAGCTAAACATTGATGTGCATGCACAGCACAAACGTTATTTAATTTTAACTAACAGATGCATAACATGCTTACGCTTTCACAGCATAATGCCACCAAAACGGAGGAAAGGAGATACTAGTGTTAGAAGTTTACATACAACTTTCTAATTCTCTGAAACCAATGATTGAGAAAGGAAGATGTTTGCTAATTGTTTAAACCTATGTGGGCATTGCTAAACACCTAGACTTATTCTTCTTATTCAAAACTATCTCACACAGTGTTTTTATATTTTTCACAAGTAAAAATATTTTATTTTTTAAGACAGTACACTGAACAGTATGGAAAAATATTTTTAGAAAATTAAAGCAATGATGAAGCAAGCAAATGATAGGCATCAGCTAATTTTCAGAAAATACCTAAGAAATAAATATTTTACTCGAGTTAAGTTGTGCCTCATGGAGTCTTACTTCTACCTTGTTCATGGTACTATTATTGAGAGTACTTGGTCTGCAAATTTCCTGGGAGGCACACTATTTAGTAACTTTCTAAAATATTATTTTATTGTTTATGAGAGGGATGATGGTAACCTGTGCTATACATAGTTCTTCTGAAAGACGTGTTTCCAATCATTCCTTTTTCACATGGCTCAAGGAAAAGGAGGCAGGCACCCCCACAGAAAGGCATGACAAGGTTCTGTGCCATGTGCCTGTGAACATGCTTTCTACACTTTATGCCAAAGGCTCCAAGCAATTTCAAAATACTGTTTTCCTTATTAAGCAAGCAGCCTCTAATGCAACAAATAAGTTTCCTCTCAGTCTTGCTGGGAGATAGTACTAGAGTAGATTTACCTCATTTATGAACACACTGGGAAAATCAAAAAGAAAGAAACTGCTAGTGTCTCAGCTTACAATGACAGCCGGCTCCTGAAGACAATACTGACTAACTGTTGAGATCTCTCGAGTAGAACAGCTACATTTATGTGACAGTAACCTGCTGAGTTCTGTACTTCTAGAAGATGATTGCAGAGCCAAAGCATAACAGATGTACTGTATTTTCTATTAATTCCTGAGACTCGATAAGTTACCCAGAGTGTCTTGTCCCCAGGTAATTCAGGCCTGGGGGAAGGGTTCCTTCTTCCAGACTGATTGGTACAGCTGCTCGGTACGTGTAACTACTCAGATTCCCAAAGAATTCTAAGTGGACGTTCCTCCACAGTGGTGCTTGTTCTCTCTAACCATCATCATTTTAAAGTTTCATTGGCTGTTCATTCTTTCATAGGATTTTCTTTAGTCCACAGTTCTCTGGAAGGGAGTGGGTTCCTTATATATGAAACTTAAAGTAGCAATACATGTCTAAAAAGTTCTGAAAAGCTGGAGTAATTATGTTATTTGAATTTTTTTCTGAGTTATGAATGAACTTCTGCACAGTAGTTCATTTTAAAAGACTACATATGCATACATTATTTGGTGGGAGAACTGCCCACCAATTAATATGAAACAGTTTTGTTTACTTTTTATGGGGAACAATTTCAGTAACTTAAAATTTTTTTCTTATTCACTTTGTAGCTGATTTTCCAATGCAAGTCGAAGGAAACCCCAAATGTTGCTTCTTTAAATTTAGCTCTAAAATACAATACAATAAAGTTGTAAAGGCCCAACTGTGGATATATCTGAGACCCGTCAAGATACCTACAACAGTGTTTGTGCAAATCCTGAGACTCATCAAACCCATGAAAGATGGTACAAGGTATACTGGAATCCGATCTCTGAAACTTGACATGAACCCAGGCACTGGAATTTGGCAGAGCATTGATGTGAAGACAGTGTTGCAAAATTGGCTCAAACAACCTGAATCCAACTTGGGCATTGAAATCAAAGCTTTAGATGAGAATGGTCAAAATCTTGCTGTAACCTTCCCAGGACCAGGAGAAGATGGGCTGGTAAGTGATTAACTAAAAAGAATAACCCAATATGCCAGAAAATAAATTCTAATTCTTATGCCTATAACTGCATAAAAGTATGCTATCCCTGTACCCATTAAATATAGATATCCAATTTTGTACCCTATGAAACATTCCCTTGATACTCTGCGTGAAGATAAAAGAAAAAAATTATACCACCGTGCTTACCTGATTAAGGTGTTCTTTTGAATTGGGAATGAAGTATAAAGTGCTCTTTATTGATATGACACATGATTTAGCATAACGCAGAAGAAGTTTTAAAACTGTAACTAAAATATCTTTATCAATTGCAATTTAGTTAATATGATAATACTTGACTTATATTAAATGTTAATTTAGGGCCCCTCATGATAAATTCATTCATTATAAGCAGACTGTTGATGCCCTGATGTATATGTAGCTTACACAGTGAATTAAAGCAAAATCAAGCTCACTGTCATCAAATTGATGCCAACTCATGGACACTCCACAGGAGAGAGTTGAATTGTGCCCAGGGGTTTCTAAGGTTAAAAATCTTTTGAATCAGAAAGCTTAATCTTTCTCCCTTAGAGTGGCTGGGTTCGAAACACTGACCTTGTGGTTAGCAGCCCAACTCATTACCCATTACCCTACTAGGGCTCCTTACATGGTGGATTACTGCTAATAAAAGTTAAATTTCCTGGCTCATTAACCTTTGCCACCTGTCTTATTTCTGAGCTGCATTAACATTCTTGTGTATGAGTTTATGGGCAGTTTCTGGGTCAGAAACAGCTGACTTTTGTACAACCTTCTCAACCAAATCTTGGAGACTATTATATTGAAAATTATTCGTAATAGCAAATGGCATTGTGATGTGAATCAAAGTTTTTATTATGATGATTACCGTATTATTATGTTAAAGATGTTTTAGTGTACCTGGTGGCATTTTTTTTTAGTGTTTTTCAGTTACAGAAATGGACACCACCATATACTATATACTACAACAAATATTTGATTAAGAGACACTAGCTATGAACTGTTCCTAAATGTTACAATTTATGTACAAATTTGACTGAGAAAGATATTTAAGAATGGAACTCATTCATAATCCAGGGAGTGCCTCTACTTAAGAGAATGTCAAATAATTTAATTTGGGCCAAACAGATGGTGATACCACATATTATAAAAATTAATATAAACCATTCTAAAATTTAGTGTAAATTTAGGATTACTCACTCCTCTGGCTTGTCAACAGAGATTATACTTGTAAACAGTAAGCATGCTATCATTTTAACCTTTACATGGTCTTGGTTAAGAAGAGTATATAATTAGTAAGCTAAAGCTACTTTTAATAACATTTTTTAAAAGATTACATAAATTTATGTCATTAATTAAAAAATAATGTATAAAATGTTATTAACTCCCAAATAATACTATTCTTTTTGACAATATTAATAAGAAGAACTACCAGGTCTATTCAAATTTTTGACATAGTATACAACTACTATTATTTAAGAAAGAATTGTCAGCACATTAATGTTCACAGTTGATCTTTTGACAAAGCTTTTCATTATTATGAAACAGGTGGCTAATATGATTTATTCTTCAGATTTTTTTACACATGAAAGCAAATATAATTCCAAAATGCATAAAGGTTGGAGTAGGATAGTGCACATTATTGCTTAAATATTTCAAGAGGTATCTTTCAAGGAAAAAAAGTCAAATATTATCATGTCTTCTTTTGTATCTCTCCTTCCTTACTTGAGTTTTCTTTCCAACTCAATACATTTACTATGAAACCTCATTTTCCCCCATACAATATATACAGTATTGAAAGGTAGAGCTCTTTTGCTGGGCTTAATATTAAGCTTTCTCTGAATAAAACCCTAAGGAAGGATGAATGGATGAATATACCTGCCCCTTCATCAGGCACAGCTCACCAACTTCAAGTTGAATCCAGAGGGTGCTACTCTTCTCTTCACCTCCTTGCTCTTTCCCTTACTATAAAAGTTTTCAGAACACCTATTATGTATTAGGCAATCTGGTACATATACAAAATGAGGAAAACAAAACTGAAAAGATATTACATCAGAGGAATTTGTATTGGTGCTATATTCTTCTGAGTCATCAGGAGAGAATGCCAACAAACCAACTCATTGCCACCTCAAGGGGATTCCAACTTACAGAGGTTCCGAAGCTGTAAATCTTTAGGGGAGCAGACAGCCTCATCTTTTCCCTGCAAGAGGCAAATTAAGTCTATCATAAATTATAATTTTTTAATGCTATGTTTTTAAAAAATAAATATGGTTTAAGCAAAATTATTTCTTTAGTTGATAATGACTTCATTCCAGGGGTCAATAGACATATTGACTGTTGTTTCCTTTTTATACAGAATCCCTTTTTAGAAGTCAAGGTAACAGACACGCCAAAAAGATCCCGAAGAGATTTTGGTCTTGACTGCGATGAGCACTCAACAGAATCACGATGCTGTCGTTATCCTCTAACTGTGGATTTTGAGGCTTTTGGATGGGACTGGATTATTGCACCCAAACGATACAAGGCCAATTACTGTTCTGGAGAGTGTGAATTTGTATTTTTACAAAAATATCCTCACACTCATCTGGTACACCAAGCAAACCCCAAAGGTTCAGCAGGCCCTTGCTGTACTCCTACCAAGATGTCTCCAATTAATATGCTATATTTTAATGGCAAAGAACAAATAATATATGGGAAAATTCCAGCTATGGTAGTAGATCGATGTGGGTGCTCATGAGATTTACATTAGGTTCATAACTTCCTAAAACATGGAAGATCCCCACCCCTTCAACAATTTTTAAACTGTGAAATTATGTACCACAGGCTTTGGGCCTATAGTATGCTACAGTTACTTTAGCACAAGCTGCAGTATATGAACGAAGAGAGAAAACATAGGCAATGGTTGGCATTTAACCATCAAAAATAACACAAACAATAAAAGTCATATGGTTTCCAGAGTTCCTGAACTATAAGGAAATCACATAAAAGTATGTTCATATATAATGCTACATATGCAAGTAAACGAAAGCATTCTCCATGTGTTCTGGTGAATTGAAGGAATATGCTTTAGACTTGATTTCTTACATCTCCATTTAATATGTACAGAAAAATCTCTATATAGTATTGGTAAAATGCAGGTAGGTTATGTACCATCATTTGAATCATCCTTAAGCACTTGAATTTTTAATGTATGATAGCATACTTGGTAAAATGAAATTCCGCAGAAATAGGGATGGTGCACCATATGCAAGTTTCCATTCCTAGCACATTAACAATCCATGCCAATGGTGCTAATACAGTAGGGTGAATGACTGATGTGATCAAGTTTATCAATTAAGACACATTCAGTAAAACAGTAAGTTTCTCCTTCCTTCAGGTGCACTTCATCCATCTCTAAATGGGGAATGGATTTTCTTTAATGAAAGAGGAATCATTTCTCCTAGTGGTAAGCTTTCAATTTTGTAGCATCCTTGGAGAAACTAAGTTATGTTAAAAGGCTGCCAATTTTTTTCATTTTTTATCAAAATTTCAAAATTACAGCCTGCCTTTGCAACACTGCAGTTTCTATGGGAAAATAATAAAAATGACTGATTCTATCAATATGGTATGAAAAGACTTTGAAACAATTGCATTTATATAATATGTATACAATATTGTGTTGTAAATAAGTGTCTCCTTTTTTATTTGCTTTGGTATATTTTTACATGAAGGACATTTCAAATCAAATATTAAAGCACAAAAACATACCATGTTATCACAGAAAGCAACGGCTTTTATTGCAGAGGAAATTAGCAGATTAAATAGTGGTCTTTAAACTCCATATGTTAATGGTTAGAAGGTTATATTACAATCTTTTTATATATTTTTTACCTTGCTAACATTCACTTATGGATTTATGATGGCTGTATAATGTGAAATTCCAATGGTTTACTGGCATTGTATTCAAATCTCAACGTTCCATAATTTTAATACTTTTAAATTTTACTAAGCATACCAATATGATTTAACTCCATTACCTTAAATACAGTATAATAAACTGATATTACAACAATAATTGTTATTTTTATTTTATAATTCAACAAGGAATTTATTTCTGCATATATTTACTTCTATTTTGCAAGTTAGGGTTTGTGAATCAAATTCAATGTACTTATGACTAATTGAAATTATTTCTTATATCGAATGTATTTAAACTCAAAATTCAATAATATTAAAGTGTTTTCACAGTTTTTGAAAGTTAACAGTTTTACGTTATAATGGTTAATTCTGGATTTCTAGTTCTCACTCTATCATTCATGTCTCATGGCTTAGCACAAAATTTTGATTTTGGAATTGTAGGTTTGCTACTCGAGTTCTCATGCGTGAAATTCCTCTTCAAGTTGGTCCTGGTTAGGTTTCTTTACACATACAAAAGCAAGGACTAGTCAGTTATATCTGTTTCATTTTTCTTTATCTTGACCTGAAAACTATTTATATGTTTTCATAGGTTCAATTTCAAAATGCATTGCAGTTGGCAAGGATATATGGTCCTAGATTTATAAGGTCTCCCAAAGCCCCAGGGACACAGGGAAGCAACATCATTTTCCTAATACCATGATATTAGCACCATTCATCTCAACTTTGGAAGTACCAATTTCCAACTTGGATTCTGAAACAACACAGTGACTAGTAATCCTTAAGTGCAACACTGCCCAGCAATAATCTTGAAGTGATCCCTCCTCTCCACTTCCTATCAGTTTAGTAACTTAACTATAAGGCAGTGGTAACATTTGGTAGGGGCCTGGGAAAAGGAGGAAGACTCTCAACAAGATAGATTGACACAATGGCTGCAACAATGGGCTCAAACATAGGAACGATTATGAGGCTGATGCAAGACCGGGCAGTGTTCCCTTATGTTGTACACAGGGGTTACCATGACTCAGAACTTGCTCGTTGACACCTAACGACACAATTTTAATGACGTAATTAAAATTCCATTTAGCACCATGATTCCTACATAAATGTAATGTCTAACCATTGTCAATAGTGTAATAATTTCTATCCACATAAATAAAATAAAGTACTTAAAATGTTTTTGAACTGACATATTTAACCCTGATGGGATTGTCCCTGAGGAAGAAAGGGCCAACTGTGGTGATGGTGGGGAAAGTGTAGAGTCACTTTCAGTGCACACACTACAGCCTCTTTCTCTCAAACCAAAAACAAAACAAAAAACACTGCCACTGAGTCAATTACTACTCATAGGAGCCTACAGGACAGGACAGAACTTCCCTTTGGGGTTTCTCAGACTTTAAATCTTTAGGGTAGCAGATAGCTTCATCTTTCTCCTGAAAAAAGAAATAGAATAGTAGGTTAGCAGCTCAGTTTGTAACCCACTATACTACGAGGGCCTTCCTTTCTTGTTCTCCTAGGTTCATGAATATGCATGACCAGATGTCTAGGCCAGCAGTCCTATTAACATACATAAGCGCTGGAGTTCTAATAACTGGGGGTTCTTGGTCTGTAGACCCAGTCCTGTGACAAGACTTCCTAGTCTTTATACTCACATTTACAACATGTCTGGAACACAGGCTCAACCTCATCATGTGGTAATGCATGAACTGCACATGTGCGACAATGAAAAGCTGTCTCGGGAACAATCTTTCTTGGGGCAGGACCTAGGCAGTTCTTCTATTCTGCTAGATCCTAGAAATGGCAAAGATATGCTGCCAGTGTGTCCAAGGGCACATCACTTTCATTTTCAGCACCTCAAGAACATTCACTTGTGATACATAATACTAATCCCTGGGATATCCAGAAAACATCATGTAAAGTTCAACACAGTGTGTCAGTTTTAATCTTCTGTAATGCTTTGCAATACTCCCCATACTTCCCACAGTCTATTAGAAAGAAAAGAAAAACAAACAAAATAAAACCCTTTTAACGGTATACTTTCTTCTTGAGGTCAAGGTTTTTTGTACATTTATATAGAACTTTATTCTTTGACTATCAAAGCAATGATATGAAAACAAATAGATTTTACTTTTGTTCTTTAAACCATGATGCAAAAAATTTAAGGACTCAATGTTCCTTTTGTAATCTACTGGAAACTAGGAATACTTGCAGCAGAAAAATAACATTATTTTGCAATATAATTTTATAATAACACCAAATATAATTTCTGGAAGTGAAAGAATTTCTTAAAGTTTCTCTGTAGAGCCTAATTTACAAGTCCTTGCTGGGGATACTGCTTTTTCCTTACACAGGTAGTAAGTACTATTTATGAAGTAGTTAGATATATTTATAAAAACCTGCTTTCAATGAATCAACTTTAGTCACTAAGCAATTAGGGTTTTGGAAATAGAAAACAAATAGCAAGCCAGCCTAAACTAGAACTCAAGCTCATTGCCATAGAGCCGATTCCACTTCCAGTGACCCTAGAGGGCTGGGTAGAACTGCCCCTGGGAGTTTCTGATGGTAACTCTTTATGGGAGTAGGAAATCCTTCATCTTTCTCCTGCTGAAAGGCTACTGGTTTGGAACTGCTGACCTTGATCTTAGCAGCCCAACTTGTACCCAGGAAACCACCAAGACGCCTCCAAATGAGGCTAGGCCCCTATTTAATAAAATATCGTTTCTTAAAGATGATCAAATCTTCAATTGGCAAGTCTGTAGTAGATTAAATACATAATTAATTGAGTTAAAAAACACTTCAAATTAAAAACACACCTACTTTTTCGTGTCAGAAATTAAGAAATTACCAGAGTTTATCTGAGTGTTAGAATTTGGAGAGTAAAAGACCCTAATATTTTTCGAGCACCAGATAAACATTTTCTGAAACAGTGTGAAAGATATCAGTGTCCTCAATTTATACAAGAGGACCCTGAGAAACTGAGGTAGAAGGAAGTATTGCAATGACTAAGGAGCCCTGGTGGTGTAGTGGTTATGTGTTGGGTTACAACCTGCAAGGTCAGCAGTCTGAAATCATCAGCCTCTTTGTGAGTAAAAAGACTGGCTCTTTTACCTCTGAAAACAGTTACAGTCTCAGCAACACAAGGGCAGTTCTTCCCTGTCCTATAGACTCATGATGAGTCAGCATTGATGGAGGGTAGTGAGTTTGGTTGAGTATTGCAATAATCTGGACTGGGGCTGCTTTAAAAAAAAAATCATTTTATTGGGGGCTCATACAACCCTTATCACAATCCATCCATCCACCCATTGTGTCAAGCACATTTGTTGCCATCATCATTTTCAAAACATTTTCTTTCTACTTGAGCCCTTGGTATCAGCTCCTCATTTTTTCCTTCCCTCCCTCTCCCACTCTCCCTGCCTTATGAACCCTTGATAATTTATAAATTATTTTTTTTCATGTCTTACACTGACCGATGTCTCCACTCACTTTTCTATTGTCCGTCCCCCAAGGAGGGGGTTATCTGTAGATCATTGTGGTTGGTTCTCTCTTTCTCCCCTGATATTTCCCTTCCCTTCCTGGTATTGCAACTCTTAATATTGGTCCTGAGGGGTTTATCTATCCTGGATTTCCTAAGTTTCCAGCTCTTATCTGTATCCGTGTACATGCTACAATCTAGCCAGATTTATAAGGTAGAATTGGGATCATGATAATGGGGGGAAGAAGCATTAAAGCGCTAGAGGAAAGCTGTATGTTTCATTGGTGCTATACTGCACCCTGACTGGCTCGTCTCTTCCTTGTGACCCTTCTGTAAGGGGATGGGTCAGGACCGATTTTGAACTATCGTTT